TCTCTGCAAGATACGTTCTCTGTATCTGAGAAGCAGAGGTGAGGCGTACCAAACGTAAGGCAGAGACCGAGACCTGCAGAGGCCAGTAGGTGCAGACACCGAGGCAGGCAGCAATCGGGTGAGACAGAGGCCGAGTCCGGGAGAGGCAGTGTGAGGCATTCACCTAGTTTGGCACGTATCTCTTGGTGAGAGTTTAGAAAATTTTTCAAAATAAAAAAATGCTGGAATATGTCCGAAAAGCGCACAAAACCAAAAAAATTGAACATTTTTAAAAATTTTGAAGTTAAAAATTTTCAAATGTTTTTGGTTTTGTGCGCTTTTTGGACAATTTCCAGCAGTTTTTGATTTTTTTGAAATTTTCAAAATTCCACCTCCTGATGCCTTGCAGACCCTGTCTCTCTCGGACAGTTTCTGATGTACTGTGTCTCTGACGAATGCGGTCTGTGCTTGACTCGGGCTCTGCGAGGACCGGTCTCTGTATGACACATCTCCGAGTGCCTTCTCTGAGAGCCCAGGTGTGGCAGGCAAACGTGACGCAGACAAGGACCTGCAGAGGCCGGTTGTTGCAGACACCGAGGCAGGGAGCAACCGCTTGCGATAGAGGCCGAGTCCAACAGAGACAGGTGGAGGCATTCACCGAGTTTGGCAGGCATCTCTTGGGCATATTAGAAAAAATATTAAAATTTTTCAAAATTTTCGAAAAATCAAAAAATGCTGGAAAATGTCTGAAAAGCACACAAAACCAAAATTGTTTGTAAAATTTGAAAAAAATTCGAAGTTGAAATTTTTCAAAATTTTTTGGTTTTGTGCGCTTTTTGGACAATTTGCGGCATTTTTTGATTTTTCGAAAATTTTTAATTTTTTTTAAAAATTCTCCCCTCTCGATACCTGCCTGATCCGTTCTCTTCCAGACCCGGTCTCTGCCGGACTATCTATACTCGAAACGACCTGTGTATGGGCGGGTCTCTTACGGAATGCTTCTGCAAAGATCGAGTGAGACAAAGACCGAGTCTGACAGAGACCGGGTCCGGTAGTGATCGCCTCTGGTAAGGAAAATTTTGAAAAAATAGTTTACATTTTTTTAATATTTTTAAAAACGAAAAAATGCTGTTAATTGTGTAAAAAGGGCATAACACACACATTTTTCGAAATATTTGTATTATTTTACTTTTTCTGCAATTTCCAGCATTTTTTATTTATAGTCCTTCATATTGTAAGCTATATATAATGACAGAATGGCACCCCTTTTGTACTTCCCATATAGCATCCTGTTTAATGACCTGATAGTCTTCTATATGGCTCATACAGTAGCCTGTATTGTAACTAAAGAGACAGTCTTCACATGGCTCAGATGGTTTTTATATCATGATCTAGATAATATCCCTCTATATAGCCTACATATTGAAGATGGCTGTCTTCTGGATTGTTGCGCCACTTAGTCTGGTTGAAGTTTACCAACGTTTAAGAGGTACCTTGCTGCCTCCATCATCAGGGTGATTGCAATACTAGACTACATGACACTATAGCCCAGAAGACAGCTATCTTCGGTCTCACCGCCATGATAACGTTAAATTTTAGCCTATATATTGACCAAAATGACTGTCCTGTATCTGGAATATAGAGTATAATGGCCAGAAGTATAGCACACTTATTGGGTCAGATATAAGACTGTATATAAACCAGCATAAATTAATAATAATTAATGTACGAGTGAATGTGCATGCATATGTAATGTTATGTATGTAGGTATGTACATATACAGAATTACTAAAATTTGTCTCAAGTTTGCTGTAATGTTTTATTATTTTGTTGGACTACAGCATAACCCTTCCTTTAAGGTCACTGTGAGTAACATTTCTGGTTAGAATTTACTTTGTTTTTAGGGAATATTCGGAGATATACCTTGATTTTTACATTTCTTTTATTGCATAATATTTTACTGTAGCATTTTATGGGTTGGATGAGCAGTAAAGGTATTTAAACACACAAAACACGCTCATAAGAAGAATATTGTAGACAGCATTTTCCCTGTCATGAACTCAGTGATATCAGCAGAGTGATACCATACTGATAGGACGTTAATTATGCTAAAAAGTCACACTCTACATTTCCGGCCCAAAATTCGAGGATAAAAGAATTTAGATGATTGACAAATCAAATGATAAGTCTGTAAATGTACCTGAAACAATTATGAATGTATGCTATATACTCAACACATAATCTATCTGTCATACATTCTACCTGAAATATTTTATATTCAGCTTTATGAGCGTTTGAGATCTGGTATTTGAACTAATCACAAGAAGAAGGGTAAATAATACGATGATAAATTCTTACCAAATATTATCATGTTGCCTTAGTTTCTATAAACTATTACAAAATTAACAAATACTTATTATTGGAATTATCAGTAATAAGTATTTTTTTGTAATTAGGTGTAGAGTTTTAAAACATTTTAATATGTAACAATAAACTGTATACAAACCACTGTTCTCAAGAATGTGGTTTTTATTTCATTTCTTATTTATAAATTTTCTTGACTCTAAACAGGAAGTAAAACAAAATACAAGAATGAAACATAACCAGAATAGATATCACAGACGCTCCAAGTTTGAAAAGTACGGATACAACCAACCAACCAGCCAATAGTGAGTTAAAAGCAACAGATTATTTGGTGTAAAACCTCTGCTTGAAGGATTTTACTATTTTTTTCTGTCGCAATGATAAAGGTCTAAGTTGATTATGGGCAACCTGTATCTTGTTTATATGTTTTGAATAGACATAAAAACTTAATCAACAATATATGAAATAAAATAACCAAAATAGTTTAATTAGGATGAATGAAACTATCAGACTTAACAAATGTGGGTAAACTTGTGCAATACAAACAAACAAACAAACAAACACACACACACACACACACACACATATGAAGAATATGCTACAATTCTTTGTCCATAGGAACTTTACTCTGAAATGTCTCAATACTAACATTATAATGGTGGCTCATATTCAACTGGCCAGCTGTATAACTCTACAATTCTAAAATCTGATTTGAATGGCTTTCTTAATTTGCCAGACATTAGTGAGGTTTTACATTTACAAAGTTTCAATAAACATACTTGAATTTAATCCCAAACACAATTCCAGGAACACCACAAAATCAAAAAAGTTGTAGAATTCTCAATCTTTTCCCACACATATCTTGTGCTGTCATGGCTGACTTTGTTTTATTCATAAATACCCAGAAAACTGAAAGAGTACAAATTATCAAAGTACATTCACCAAATACGAGAAGACAAATATCCAAAAACAATGTTATAAATATGAGCATAGAAGCCACTGTTACGACACAGTCAGGTCTGGTATGAAAGGAAGAGTCCATTGTTTTCTGAGTCATTGTAACACTGCGAGATTTGGTGTAATTGTTGGAGCTTTGTGCTTAAGTCGAATGTCTTCTAAAGCAACTGTTACTGAACCTGAATCTTAAGTGTTACCTATCCAAAATTATTTCATAATATGGCCACCTGATGTCTGTGACATGAGGCACAATCCTTATATTGCGTATCTTCAATATAGTGTAATTTTTCTGACAAAACAAATTGTAGGTTTGAACTGTATCTGCAAACATGGAGTATAAACATATTTTATAATTGCAATTAAAGTGTTAATCAACAGATCTGTAGAAAATTTATAAGAGCATTTTGATGACCCTTTCTCAAACAGCATCACTACTGCATAAGTAAATTTTTGAAATTCAGATGTTACACGTGAAAAACAACATTGGATTGATCAGATTTGTAATCATTTCTAAGGATCCAGGGGCATTAGGTTCTTCAATAATAAATTAAGTTAATTTGATGAAAGAAATGAAAAGCCAGTGTTATAAGTGAAAAACAATAGTATCTTGGTAATTGTTCAAAGAACTGCTTGAAGTTACAAGCCCAACAAGTCATACAGAAATGTGAATATCGGAAAGAGACGCAGGACAACTTGCCAGTTGGATTCCTAATTTACACTCAAAGATTTAATTCGCAAGTTCCATCAGTTAAGATGCAATTTAGAGAGAAGTTTCACAAACTTACTATGCTGAAACAGATCTTAAAATTAATACAAGTTAAAACCAGGCTAAGATCTTGATGACTCATGTTCAGTTCCTGACAGGGTATCATATTTTTCTCCAGGGGATCTACACAATTTCCTATTCAATGAGTGCAGGGGGTAAAGTGGTCAAGGCATGTGATTAAGTGCTAACAGCAGCTTGTAATGTCTCATAACATTTGCACAGCGCTTTGTGCATGAATTGAGTGTCTTCTGAGGACCAATGCTACCACACAATCTGGTATTTTGTGATAGGTACAGCCACTGAGGTTAAGAATGTATGAAGCTACACCTCCATTCCCCTATATGTCTTCTTTGATGTGGAATTTAATTAAGCATGGGGATAAGATTTACTTTAGTCCACTTTAACCCCATCCTTAAAGTCAACTTGTCACACTAAGCTTAATAGCTACTCCAACAACAAAAAAATTTAAAACGTGAAAAGTAGTCAAACTCAATGTTACACAGATATAATTAGCCTTTGCTTTTGTGTTTTATGCTGACATTACAAAGCACATCTATTTATCACGCATTATCTTCATTACTTCTGTTAAGAGGCTGGTAGTTATATTTCTACTGCTGTCCAGTGTTGAAAACATTATTGATCACAAACTTGAAATTCACTGTAGAGAAATACAGTACATACAGTGGTCTATACTACTCCTTTAAATGTAGTATATTGTCAAAGATAATTTGAATGTTCTCTCTAGTTGCTTTGTTCTTTTGTTGGGAGGTTTATAGACGTAATGGACCACTTTGGAGAATACAACTGGTAGATGCACTTTGTAAATTAAATCACAGTAAATAGCCATGACCTGATTAAAGATATTATTGCTGCTTAAGATTGAGAAAGCAATAACAATTTCATAAAACTGTTGCACAGATAAAACAATTTTACTCAGGCTTCCAAAATGTGGAATATTCACACTATCAAACTACATTAGTAAACATGGAGGTGACCTTATGTAGACATATAAGATGGCTTCATAAAAATAGTTACAATTATAAGAAGAGTAATTTTGATATTATTTATACTGTCTGGTATGTTTATAGTGAATAAATGTAGGTTTTGAAGAGAAAATCATCTTAAAAGTGAAACAAAGGTACAACTATATGACATGAAGTAATCTACTGAAAATCATGAAGGCAAATGATATTTAACAAAGATACCGTTGTACCAAAGCACCGTGTAGTTAAGGCAGACGATGTTCTATTACAGACTCTTACTTATTTAACTGTACATTATGAAGAAGAACAAGTGGACCTAAAACTTGTTTCACTATTACCTATGACACAATTAAATGTACATTAATTGTAAAAATAACTAGTCACATAAATTATGTAATTACACAGAACTGAAGATCAGAGGGACAATTTGAACTCTGATAGGTACAGTTTTGGTATCATCAGTCATATCAAAGCCACAAAATTCTGTATAATAATCATGTAGCACATAGTACTATTATAAATTTAATAATCATATTGCTTTGCTAATGACTTCATTTGAAGTGACGATATTTTTAAGTGCATGGTACAATGAAATCAAAGAAGTTACTTCAGTGAAACTAAATTCATATGCATATAAGCTACAGAACTAATTTGGTCTAAAAATACAAAATCATGACATCGGAAGGTTAACTTGTTCTAGAGCAGGGGTTCTTAATCCCTAGCTTTTTTATATCTTTCATGAGGACTACACGAATTTTTGTAATATTGTATCCCCATGTTTAATGAATAAATGCATTAAGTTAACTAACATTTATGGAAAACTGGGTAATACGTGGACCCATTTCCAATATTAAGTTAGCCATAACTGCGATAACAACATCTGTAATTTGGCAGACTGTATGTGAATAAGAAAATATGGATGTGGGCCCAGGTCTTAAAAAGTTGTAAACCCCTGTTCTGGAGTTACGACATATTTGAGGAGTAACTTATGAAAATGATTTCATATTTTTGAAGAAGAAACCATGTTAAAGTATTGCCTAGTTACAATGACGAGTCAACAGTATAAAAAAGAAGTTGACAGAAAAAAATAATAGCAAAGCAGAGGTTTTACTGAAGTACTACCTATAAAATATGTATGTTTCCAGAGTAGAAGACAGTCCTGCCTGAGTCGGGATTCTCACTTTTCAAGTACTTTTGGAATTACTTGTAATTTTTGGGACAGGCTCACTGACTTCACAATCATTCCTGCGTACAGTCAAATGTCTATAAAATGAGAAAATTAATGAAGGAAAATCTTTTGCAATAAAGTAGTGCATTACTGGGCAAGATTATCAAAATTAATTTGCACACACTAATTCATTTCTATTGGTCCTAAATTAAGTCTACTCTATAAATGAGATTTTGAATTTTCAATGTATTTTGCCACATATTTTACACAATAACTATTCTTCGTGGATGTCAATTTGTTTTAGTAAATTAATTGTTTTTATTTTTAACTACAGTTGTTTGTGAAAAATTAATTTTATTATAAATGATTTAATCTACATCTCACTGCTGAAACAATTTCATGAAATAAAATTTATGGAGTAAATATGATTTCTTCTGTTTAAGGAGTTTGTTAATCCAAAACAAGAGTTAGCATAGTTAAGCAGATTCCTGATTTATGCAAGTCAGATTAAATACTCTTACTTTTAGAATTATGTTGATTTTCTTTTATAATGTTAAATCTGCAAATACTCATGCAATAGATCTTTAATGTGCTAGTCTTATATTTTACGTGGGTTCAATCATCCTTTCATATCATCTTGATGAATTTAATCATATTGTCTATTCCACAGTCTGCACAGAAACCAAAATAATGAAAGTTTTTTATTATTATCTTCAAAATTTCAGTCTATGTATTTTTTCTGCCTGGATTCTGTGTGAGAGCAATATTCTCACATCCAAATGGGTTTCAATTTGTTAAAAAGTAAAAACTTTCATAGAAACAAATTTCTTCAAGTCATTTCCCTTTAATTAAGAAGTATATTACTTTCATAAGTTCATACAGGGTATACACAAAAGAATGGCGCGGTTTCAAAAGTTAATAAAAAATTTCTCACCTTACACGGGCGCAACATACACCATCAGCGGCGGCAACTGTCCAAGTTTCTCATGCGTTAATTACAATCCTTCAAACTCATCCCAGACCCGGTGTAGCATTTCCGCTGTAATGACCTGCAGTGCATGCGTTATCCGATCATGAAGTTCATGGATGGACGTGGGCAATGGTGGTACATAAACGCTGTCTTTAACGAACCCCCAAAGAAAGAAACTGCACGGTGTCAGATCTGGCGAACGGGGTGGCCAAGGGAGAAGATTGTCGTCTCCATTTGCAGCAGCACGTCCGATCCAGCGCTGTGGAAAAACACGATTGAGAAGCACTCGTACATTCCTGTGAAAATGGGAGGGAGCTCCGTCCAGTTGTAGAATGTAATCGTCATAATTGGTATTCAGTTGGGGTAACAACCAGCTTGTCAACATGTCAAAAAATGAGTCGCCAGTCACAGTTGCACCATTCTTTTGTGTATACTCTGTATAGTTTAAAATCCATTTTTCTAATCAGCAGTTACCTGTTTAAATCAGAGTAAAAGATTTATATTTTCCAACTTCTGCAAGCAAAGGACCCAGAACTCACATATTCATACACTGGCCACAACATTTCTATGTGGACAGGTATTTGTTTCCTAGAGTATCCTATACTGACTTATTATTGTGCGAGCACACTATTTTATGAATTTATCTAAACATCTTAAATTATTTTAATAAAAAGTGTAAAAAAACAATGTTTAATAATAGAGCATTTGACTGTCATATAATTTGAAAACTAATTTGTAAAACTGGAACTGTAAAATCCTAAATACTGTATGTTATAACATGGTCCCATAGCCTGACCCAATGCAGAACTCTCAGAAAGGCATTTTAAGAGATTGTCACAATTTGAAATAGTTCTATTTGGAATAGTCCCCTACAACAATACCCACAGTTTCCTTTAAAAGACACAATAACTTTAAACTAGGAGGCAATTAGTGGTTACTCAAATTGCCAAGGAGCCAAACCTAATTATATTCAATTTTAGGTTAATGAAATATTGATTTTGGTTGAGGTTAGTTCATTTGAGAAACTCACAGTTGTTTGAGGTTCCTTAGAGATTACATATATATATGCTGCTTCTGTCTTTAACTATGGTTGAAACTATGCTGCAGATGATGTCCATTAAGTATGGAACATTAACGTTTTAACCTTACAACAGTCTTTTTTTTTTAAATCATAAAACATTATACCACTATTACCAACATATGGAAAGTAAAATTCTCAATTGGTAAACTTCTATGTGTACCTCAGAATCAAATCACATTAAGATGTCAAACATGCTGAAATGGATTAATTTGTATTTAAAAACATTATTTACCTGTGAAGATGACTGTCTTGTGGGTTGCAGTGCTACTTAGTCTGGTGGACATTCATCAATGTTTCAAAGATTTCTGCTGCCTCCATCATCATCATCATCTTGGCAATGATTACCCTGATGAAGGAAGCAGGAAGGACCTGTGAAACGTTTTTAAACTTCTACCAGAGTACATGGCATTGCAACCCAGAAGATTGTGATATTCATACTCGGCACTTGTCATTATGTTTGGTTCGACTCCCTGGAACTGATGAGATGACTGATATAAGAGAAGTTTTATGTTCAATCATCAATTCTTCTGCACTTTAAGGTTTACCCTCCTTAACTGATTAATGTAGGCCTGACTAAGGCAACAGGCAAAGAAAGTTTACACTGTAAGATGCAACAGACAACTCTATCATTGGGAATAGGGATAAAAATATTTTGTGAAGTTAACAAACTTCCTAGCACTCAAGACAATGCAATAATCACAGAATTTTCTGCTGCTGCATACATGTTTGTATACACACACACACACAGGACAGATAATTAAATTAAAATAGTTCCCAAGACCAAGTCACATTTTCAGTTGAAAGTTTCTTGCGAAAAAGAACAAATTCTTCTAAGAGACACAATGTTGTCTGAAAATTTTTCATTTGAGGTTTATAGAATTTATCTAAATTGTAAGCTCTATTTTGTATGTGTTTAATGCTACCAATTAAATAAGTTGTGAAAGGGGTTTGTGTGTCTAAGATTTTTCTTTTCCTGAATTCCTACAGCAATGGCATAACACCACATTGATCTTGCTGGAGTGGGGTGGGGTGGGGGGGAAATTGGTCAACTTATATAATATTACTGAACATTAAAACTAATTCCTCCATTTCCAAAGTCTAAATATACACAAAAATAAAAATATATGTAGTCTCTAATTATCTGTATAATAGACCAGTCTCAACAGCAATCAATGTTTCCTCATGAAACACGCATTCACTGCACGGGAGTGAATTTTATTTTTTCCATCACTTGTCGGAACTTTGTGATAACGGCAGCAAGAGCTGCTCCTCACAACATTCCTCTGATGAAGCACTTGCTACAAGCCGTTCTTTAGATCCATTACGTTCATCACCAAATGCCTGTGCATTGCTTTCACCTTCTCCTTGCTCGTCAGCATCATCAGCTTGCACTGAATACAGTTCACTACTCAACTTCATGTCCCTAACACAGCCGATCACCTGTCCTTCTACATTGCTCATGTCAGCCTCTCTAACCTGCTGCTTTACATGGGCAGGAACTGCTATCGTCTCAGCACTGGTTTCAAGGGGTGACTGCTGTGTCCAAGCATCATCAGGATCATCCTCAACTGACAGTTGGGAGGAACTTGGAACTGTATCTGTTTCAGATGCATATGGCTGCGTCGTGTCTGAACTTGTCTGTCGAGGATTTGTGTCTCCACTAGTTGCGTCTGTATCCGGTGGAACGTCAGATGAAGATCCACTCGCGCTTCTCAAATTAAACAAATTCTTGGGTGTAGATTCAAATCCTGTTTCAGAATCAACACTTAAATTTACAGTGGAAGTCCTTCTTCTAGGAATATCTTCTACTACTTCGTCGAGACTATCCCGAGTATCAAAGTCTGTTTGTCGATCCTCATCTGGTGTGGTGCTGGCAGACCTCACAGAAGGAGGTAACTGAAGGCTAGTTGTCTGTGTGGCAGCCCTGTATGGTGGTGGGACCAACATTACAGCTGGGGAAACACATTCTGGCGACACATCTTCAGAAGGAGCAGCAGATGATGGACTTCCCAGAGTGATGTCAACTCCTACCTGTTGCTGACTATGCGGATGCAGCCACAGTTCATGTCGGCTGCCTCGGACACTCCCGCTGCTTACTAGCAATTCAGAGAGATTGAGTCGCTTTGTGCTACCCATGTCCCGTAGCTGGAGTTTTGGAACAGATAAAAAACCTGGACCTGCTGGTGGATCACTTCCAACTCTTCTGACTCGGGCTTTCTCTTCTCTGTCTTTTGAAGCATCAGGAAGCAGCTACATAAAAAACAAAACATTCAATATTATACACCTTCATTGCGACGTAAGTGGGAAACTGAAGAAACATTAACTCTGAGAAAAAGAACTGAGTTTTAGCTTTGTTATACAGAAATAGGGCATTTAAATGCCTTCAATACATGTATTATGGGGCTGGCTGTCTGATTTTAAGTTGGGGGACTTAACTTGTAATTGTATTCATATTGAGAAATGTCTATTATATATGAAAATATTAATGTTCAGGTATTGTAAAGAGTTCTTGGGTGAAAGTATACTGCCAAATTATATAGTGCTTTGTTTTAATAATGTTGTTAAATCCAACTGATGACAAAAAATAATCTCTTTGACCACTTATATTGCCATTCTGTCCCATGTATTGAAGCAGCCCACATGCCAAATGTAGTCACTGACAGTGGGAAGTTTTTGAGTTCTCTCATTTTCATCACAAAATTGTCCTTTTGCTGGTGGTATATGCGCATCTGTCAGTATGCATACATCTCACTTGTCTCCCCAAATCTTTGCTATTAAGACACCTCTCACCTTAACACGTATGTCATGCCCTTGAGTGTCTCATCATCGTCTCTTGGCATTTCTTTACGATATTGTCTGACCAGTTAACAGTTCTGATGTGCAGGTCATAAAATAAAACTGGACAACAGGAAAATATGGCCAATCCCTTCCATGATCTTGGTGAAATGTTCTCTGACACGTGTAAAACTGTCAGTCATTTGTGTTACATTTTGCCTGTCCTTTCTAAAGCATACAGTCATACAGTGTAGCTAGTCATGCCATAACTAACTAACTAGATGGCTTACCGAACCCGAACGTTCATCACCGAATTAACCAAAGCCCTCCACCAGACCAACAAAATCCAGTCTCCTTCAACTCCTATCCCCCATAGATCCTGCCTGAGATTATCCTCCCATCTATGTCTAGGTCTCCCCAGCGGTCTCTTCCCTTCAGGTTTCCCAAACAGTACCCGGTGCACACCTCGTCCCATCCATGCGCGGTACACGCCCCGCCCATCTCATTCTTCTCGACTTAATCACCCTGACAATATTGGGGGAGGAGTACAGATTTTACCTGGTCCTCCAGGTTGGGAGTTGGGCGTAAGGCCAACAACCTTTCACCGTAAAAAAAGCATCGTTACAAAAAAATTAACAAAAGCATCGTCATGTCATACTATTTGTACATCTGGTGGTAAAGCAGGAAACCACCATCGGTTAAAAGTGTTACTGTGGCATGCCAGACAAAATACTTTGTGCCACATTTCAGGTATATTCACAAATACAAACATTGCTCCAGACACAGCACACTGAAACATTATTCACCCAAGCGCTTCCTTCATCTTGTTGTCGGTCTGGTCGCCTTTCCTCCATATATGACAAATTGTAGGCGGCTGTGTAGCCTGTGGCAGGGTACGCTGGAGGAATGCCTGGAGGGAGAAGAGCAGCATCTTGGGAATGAAATGTCTGTCGTCTCCGTGAATGGCGCTTGTAATGACTGCTATGATAATAGCGATGGAAATCCCCAGAGGCGGATGATCCACGTCTTTTCTCACAGGGCTGCAACATGATGTCTGTAAGAAAAATCAAATTGTAGTGAAAGTATTCTTCTAATATTTTCATAATATACACAAACATAAAATACAATGTCCATTTTCCTGACCTTTTACATGTTTATATGCAATTTAAAGATTCAGTGCAAGCTGTGGACAGTTTTTGTGTTCATTCAGTTAATCTACCATTGGACGTCTCAGAAAGGTTCTTAACTGAAGAGTCCCTCTGATATTCTCTTTGTGACAATAATGCAAACATGTAACGTAATGTCCTTGATATGGCTATGTCAGTATAAGAGGAGCCACTGTATAAATTGGCACACCACAATAGTAATCTGGAAGCTATAAAACTGGTTTCACATACCACTACAGCCCTTCACACATCAAATGTGAATCGTCCTTAACATGCGAACATTTACACAAACCTTCCTGTGTGTCCAGACTTCCACAAGGTGACGAGAATGTAAAGTTGGCCGGTAGAGAAAGCACTTTACTGAGAGGCTTCTTCATTTGTTGCTGTTCCTGCTGCTGTTTTTCATGATCAAGTGACATCTCCAGAGCCTGTTGCAGACGCAGTTCATCCTCTTCCTCCTCCAACACCTCCACTTGCTCTGCTGCCAACTCACGTTCCAACTCTACCTCCATGTCTAACTCGTCCTCCATCTGCATTAAAATGTCAATATAATAACTCCAATCTTTGCCATTTTATTCTTAGTCAGATTTCTGGTTCTGACTGCAATGAGTATGAAAATGATTGTCCTCTGGGATGTAGTCCTGTAGAAGTTTAACGACATTTAAGGCATATTTGATGCCTCCATCATCAAGGCGATTACCCTGATTATGGAGGTAGCAAGCACCTCTGAAATGTTGGTAAAAATCTACCGGACTACAGAGGGCAGTCATCTACATACTCAATTCTTGTTCACATGCTCAACTTCCACTGAGAATTGGGTGAAGACAAATTTATAACCTCAACTGAAACTTTATCTGTGGGAATGCAGAAAATTTCCAGCTCTAGTCGTAGTCTATGTTAAGCCGTAGGTTCCCTACGTTGTTAACAGACCATAATTTGGTAACTTTGCTCTCTCTCTCTTTGACTTTATTATAAGGACAGTCTGTACAAGTTAGAAATATTACAAGTTACATTAAAATTCTAGTACTGATTATTCATTAAACTTTATTAACTGCATTATGGCTTATGTGAGGGTGAAGCCAGCGAAGAGGCCTGCAGTTAAGGAGTTTAAACTGCCTACTCACATATGATAAAGGTTAACAGTACTTCAGTTCCGCGCCGTAGCCGCGCTGTCCGAGGCATAATGCTTCGGACCGGTGATATGGAATGCGCACTGGTTCGGGTCTCGGGGTATAAGAAATTTTCTCATGAGATTTTTGACCAGTGTATGGGACCAGTGCCAACCCAGCATCGTGAGGAAATTGGGGAGCTACAATGGGTAGCGTAATCTGGTCAGGAAAGGTAGCAATGGCTGGGGGTTCGTCGTGCTGACCACACGTCACTCTATATCTGGTTGGATGATCGTTCACCTCTGCTTAGGCATGTGAACGTGAGGCCAGCAGTCAAGCTAGTCAGCTTTGGCTCTCTGGAGCTGTTACGCCACAGATTATTATTATTATTATTATTACTCGCATATGATAAAGGTTACCAGTAATTCACTGTCCATATTAATTTTAGAGTTATCAATTGTAGCATTCCTTAAAATTCAACATAACTTATCACTACCAGTGAAATAAATCTACAGATTGTCACTTACATGTTTATGAGATTCCTCTAGGTGCTTCATCAGTACAGCCACAACAACATTGACAAGAACAAACTGGGCCATGAGAACAAAGATAACAAAGAAGATAGGAGCGATGACAGTCGACACGCAGCAGTTACGAACGCAGTCTGCTTCATCGTCACAGTCATCGCGGAGGGTGTCCTTCATGATGCCATTCCAATTGTCTCCTGTTGCTACTCGGAATAATGTGAGAAATGCCATACCGAAGTTGCTGAAGTGGGCATGCTCTCCAAGACCTTGACATGGATATTTTTCGCTGCATTCTACATGGAATAATGAAGAAAAAGTTACCGTAGAAACATTTAAAATCCAGTTTAAGACAGATATATTCTTAAAAGTAAAATCGAGGGACTTACAAGAATCTTTACATTTTTAAATGCTTTTTACGATCACCGATTGTGAAACCGAGTAAATAAAAACCAATTACAGAGACGGGGACCTGCTCAAAGCTCACAGTAATGTGTGACCTGACAGAAATACTTCATAATTAATGTGAGCTACAAAGAATATGAGGATCAGCTGACTACAAGGACTTTAAAAGCCTAGATACTATTTAAAATGAAAGTTTGAAGCTGCTAAGAAGTTCGATATTTGGAAACTGACATATCTATATAACATGAAAGTTATTTAAACAGCATAATGAAAAAGTAAGGAAAAGAAACTAATGTACATATGATATTATTATATAGCCACTGACCTAGTCTGCCAAACAGCTCAACTCCAAGAGCAGCAAAGATAAAGAAGAGAAGGAAAAACAGGAGCCCAAGGTTGCCAACCTGTGGCAAAGCCTGCATCACCGTATCCAGCAACGCCCGAATACCCTTTGCCATCTTCAGCAGCTTTAACACTAGAAGACAGAATGATTATCACATACAGGTACCAAATAAAACATTCAGTTTTCAGATTCGACTGTCTCTTACACAGTGGGACAATTTTTAATATATTATTCATCAACATCATTCACTTTATTGCACTGACCTCTAGCTATTCGCAACACCCTCATCACTCGGATGATTGTAGGATTTATTGGAATGATCTTAGATTCTACTTCCTCAAGAACAATGCCAACAATCGACAAGATCACAATGATAACATCCAGCTGATTCCACCTAAAAAGAAAGTTTTAGAATTATTAGGAACGACAATTTAAATTTCCTTTTTTGTGACCAGTCCCATTTCCTTTAAGCGATCAAACCATCTGATTTTAATATTTCTTCTGCCTCATGTGTGAAACATTTAGTCTTTTATCATTTAACCCTACAGGTATGTTCCACACTTAAGTGAAATTCACCTATTACATTCAATAGGACTGTTTACTTATACAGGTAGCCCTCGATTTACGCAGGGGATGCGTTCCTGGACGAACTGGCGTAAATTGAAACTCTTTTTATAATGTAAATCAATGGGAAGTCAATGACATGCGTTCCTAGCACCCAAACATTGACGAGTAATACAATGACATTATATTTAAAGCTCTGAAATAACGTAAATAAAATAATGGGAATTTTAAAAATATATTTTATACTTACAATCGGCAATTCGTTGGTCCCCGCGATTGACTGCGATTGTTTCATGTGACTGATATGTACAGTCATCTCTGCTGTTATGCGATAGTTGCATTCATGTAAGACCTATAGAAAATCGCGTAGTAAAAATAACCCCGGTACCTCCGCAGAGATTAAATTAGTCCTTTGAAAGTTTAAAGCGCCAGGAATGAAATTGCATAAGAGCAAACTCGCATATGCAAAAGTTTGCATTTCACAAACAGCTTTTACCGATTCAACGATCTCATTGGAGCAAATTCGCGTAAATGAAACATACGTAATTGCAGAGATGACTGTATTTATAATTTTTATTCAAAATAAGCGATGTGAGAATTACGATTTAGTATAAGAATCTGTACGAGATACATTGTAAAACTTTATAAATAATAGTATTTTTTTTTCATTTCTTGAATTGCTGGTTTCAAAATCTGCGTTATTCTGAATCGGCGCAAATCGAGGGCTACCTGTATAATGAACAAGAATCTATAAGCTGTTAGAGAAATCTGTATTTTAAAGAATTACAAACTTAGTTAAGGTGCTGTTTATCTGATATGTACACAGATGGACTGGGAATCAGATGACATGACAGACACCTTGGAATTTGGTACAGAGAGCAAGAGAATAACACTCAGACTTCAGCCTTACTAATAACTAAACACAAATAAACATTAAAATTAAACTGTGCTCATCTAAATATAATTACACAGGAATCATTGTTTAACAAAAGTACTTCTTACTTGTCTTTGAAATACAGGTGAAGTCCTAAGGCTACCAGCTTCATTACTGATTCCAAGATGAAAACAGCAGTAAAGAAGTAATTGAAGATCTTCAGTGCATATGTCAATGCCTGTATGGAAATGTCGAAAACAAGATGAATTTTATTTTGTGATTCAGTATTACTGTTATAATAATAAGCAATCACAATGGCAGGCTCATTGGCATTTACGTAATAAAAAACTGGTGCAAATTTATAGATCAGTAGCAAAATTAAAACGTATTTTGTTAACTTAAGGAGAGACAATTTCTTCGTCTGCAAAACTATTGCGAACATGTCCAAGTTTATGAAATAATGTCTTCTTAAACAATATCTTTTTGTCAAAATTCAGTTTCAAAGCTACAAATGATATAAATACGAGGCACGAAGATGGTTGCCGTCTAAGATCACAGTGCCACGCAGTCTTGTAGAAGCACCTCTGAAACGCCAGTGAACTTCTATCCGACTACACCGCACTACAACCAAGAAGGCAGCCGTCTTAACATTCACCGTTTTAGAAAACTGAAAATATCATCGAGAAGCATTTTAAGAAAAAGAATAACAAGAAGAATTGAATGAATCCGCATGAAAATAAAACTAACAATCTTGCTTCCTACGAAACTACAGTACATGTTGATGGGTTGCGTTAGCTTAGTCAGCATAGCATCTGACTGCTGACTGGATGACTGTGGTTTGATCCCCAGCAAGGACAAAGGATTTTTCTTGTAGCCTCTGCACCCAGCGTCCTATCCAATAGGTACTGGGGGTCGTATCCCTGGAGGTAAATTGCAGCTGGGTCATGACACTGACCACACACCCCAATATATTGACAAGGTCAAGAATGAATAGGAGCGATATCCCCTCTCCCCTCAAGAAACTCCATGGCATTTAGTGCGACGGTTTTGCTTTACAATAAATGTTCGACTTTAGACTCTCTTCCAGTCATTACATTTTTCTACATAGAGCGTTGGTCCTAAAAGCTGATACGTTATTAATAGTGTACTGAAGATTAGTAACAAATCATCGAGTATATATATATACATAGTTATAGGGCATACCTTGGGCATCAGGTAGAATTCCATAGCCATCGTTACAACGTTGAGACCAATGACTGCAGCTATAGCTAAGTCAAAGTACTTGGAGGTGACCACATTATGAACCATCAGCCTCGAATGCGAATAATTCGTATAATACGGCGGCTCGTGCATTTCTGAAATCGGACGCAGTGGAGATTAATCATAATTCTGACGCTACTAAAACTATTAGAAATATCCTTACATCTGATAGCAGTGGTTAGCATTCTGACTTCATATCTTAGTCCAGAGGAAAGCTGATCGATCCAATGAAAAGTACACACGCTCGTAAAACAGTTGTCGCATAAAACATTCCGAATAAATGAAAGATATGGTTATGTAAAATGGAAAAAAATACTTCGTCTCTTTTTCTCCATCTGCTTGGCTCTTTTGGCAGCACGCCGTACCCTCTCTTCCTTTTCTTGCTCCTCTCTGCAGCGATGAAAATTCTCGACCACAACGCCAACAAACATGTTGAGCACGAAGAAACCCACCAGAAGAATGAAAGCGATGAAGTACAGGAGTCGCCACTCAGAATAGTTCTCTATTGGCTGAAAACGAGCAAATCATCTGATTAATATCTTCCATTCTTTTTACTACTAACATTTCAGATACAATACTGACTTCCTTTTGCGATTTTTTCTGGGATTGCCTGTTCAATGTGGTTTAATGTATCTCAGTATGTGCTCAAGTCTGTATATTCTAGTGGACAATCACATTAAAATAATACTAAGGTCATCGTTTAAATATCTTTTGCTATGAAAAAGGTCTGTGTAGACAGGCCCTTCACTTTTTACAACCACGTTATCATACAATTCTATTCTGTTCTTCATAATTTAAATTGAAGATAAAACAATCTGTCCGTACTTCAGCATTTAGATGGTGGTACCTACAGGGTGGGTGGGAAGTAAGTAGGCATTGAGAAATGGTTATAACCTCTATATTTCCAATGCATAGCATTGTCAAAGTATGATCATTAAGTACATGTTCAAAGAAAAGATGTATGAGAATAATACTACACGAAAGATTGATTTACTGCGCGATGAGTACGTACCTGTTGATCCACACCAACAGCATCAAGACCAGTGTACATTATGTTGACCCAGCCATCGCGAGATGACAGCACAAACAGTGACATGAGGGCTTTCCCAAGGTCATCAAAATTGTACTTTCGGTTGATCCACACGTTTCTGCTATCTGCTTCGCAGCCAGTCCTATTTCTCACATTCTTAATATCTGGTCCCTCGCAGTAATAGAATGCACCTTTGAACAGCTGTGGAATCAACGAGTATTATTTGGCCTTTAGTATCTGCACTTATAACCGTGAACTATGTAAGGTTAAGAAGTTTTTACTGATCATTGCATGAATTTTCATAGCTATAGAACATATCTGGTGCTAAAGAGCAGGGACATAATTCTCTGAAGTAGTTTTGGACAGTTCAGTGTTGAAAAATAATGAACAAGAATCACACTAAGACCCTGGCCACACGACCGTGCAAAGTACGCCCGTTGCAATGGACATACTTTTGTACGGACGTAGGTGAGGACACCACACGAGTGCACTATGATGCGTCAGTTGCCCCAATGGAGCCGTAAGAAGCCGTTGCGTTCTGTGGTCTTGCCTCTTCATAATTCTATGACGGACGTCACGACGTGCGTTAAAACGGATGTACTTTGTACGGTCGTGTGGCCCCAGCCTAAGAGGTCACAGCCATTCTCACTGTAGTTAATAATTGCTTTACATTTTTAAATACAGAAAATTTGTTTTGTTGAAATGGGTTAAATTGTTTTAGGATACTATTCAGCGGTTGACTTGTTCAATAGTGGGGATCAAAATAGGGGTTCTTTCTGTAAGTTAGTTAGTGAGCAACTGAGCAAGCAAATGCGACTCACCTGAACACCTAAAATTCCAAATATGATGAAGAACGTACAACAGATGAGAACAATGTTTCCAATAGGTCGAAGAGAAGAAAGTAGAGTCTGGACCACAAGTTTCAGACCGGGAGCTCTATTTATCACACGCAGAGGACGTAATGATCTTAATAGTCTAAAAACCTGCAATTAAAATGTTTTTGAATATTTATTAACATAAAAGTTCTTCTCACACACACACACAATTCAGAAGTATCTTTCTAGAATTTATTCTCTCAAAACCTGTATTCCAAACAAATTTTACTTGCCCTGAGAATGTTGAATATCCGTGGGCTACCCTCTGATACTAGGGACATGAGCAAATCAATTATGGAAATTATAACAAGTGAACCATCCATTATATTCCACCCTGATGTGAAATATGCCTCTCGCCCATACACCATTCCAGCAGTGATCACCTGGAAGAGACAAAACATTTATTCATGAATCAGCAGCAGCATTTTACAAAAATTTATCAGTTTCGCACTTTCGATCAAAATTAACAAAACATAACATTTCTTACGAGAATAAAATACATTACTATTCTAAGTATCAAACAGATTTACTATGAAATTTAAATTTCAGTTTCACCAAAAGTAATATTCAGTACTGGGCTGATGAGTTAAGTTTTCATTTCAAAGGTGAGTATTTTGAATTTTGTATCAGAATTAGGAAACTGAATGGATATAACTTTTGTTATGACTCGTTACAATTACCTCTCCTCAGGGAAAAATATTTGCAAACGCAATAAATATCGAGAATCACATTTTGTATAGGTACACTACCTTCACAAACATCTCCATGGCGAAAACTACTGTGAAAACGTAATTGGCAGTGGCAAGAAACATGCGTTCCGTGCTGTCCGGTGGGATGTTGGGGCGTTCCATTGCCAGAGTGATGCAATTCAGGGCGATAAAAAGCAGAATCATATTGTCAAACCATTTCTTATCTACTAGTTTTCTGCACATTATTCGGAACCTGTAATTAACAAATGCAATAAGCTATCAAAAATGTACATACATTTGAATGTGGTTCTGAATATCTATGCAAATGAGTGTTCTCAAAATATACAGAAGGAGGTACTTAATACAAAAGTAGGCTTACAGCAGAACACAAAATAAGGCTTAAGCAATCTTACATATTTAATTTAAATATAAGCAAACACCTCCATCACATTAGTAAAGACTTAAACTTCAGTTACATTTATCTGAACTCTACCTATATACATCTTGTATCTCAAAGATCCATTTCAATAAATTTAAAATGTCAGTTTCAGGTGCCCTAAATATATTTTATCACTTAGTGTTCCCCATGAATTAAACATTTTAGAACCGTTGCAATGTGCGAAACATGGTTTGATCCAATGACGTCTGTAGTACTGTATTTAATGTAGCTCTAAACAGCTTACAGGATTGGTTTAGTGTTCAAATTATTCTACAGAATCTGTAACTCCAGAAATGCGTTTCTTCTCTTTAAGCTTAGTTTGTGCTCTGTTGCGGTTTTAAGAACCTTGAAATATTCTTGTTTAATTTGACAAATTTAATTAAAATAATATAATGGCAATATGAAATTTAAAATAACTACAACTACTGAAGAGCCTCTAATTCCTAGCGGAAAGAAAAAAACAAAACAAAATATACCTGTTGTGAGGCGGAAACAAGTAGAGTGAATAATCATCCCGTTCCTTGAGGCAGCCTCTTGGCTCAAAGAACATGAAGATCTTCTTGAGAGCTGTTGATGATCCTGATCCATTATTATTTTCTACAACAGTTCCAGGATTTGAACCAGCTCCGGCTGGATTGATTATTGTTGAGCCCTGACAGGAACCTTGTTGAGACATCACAATCACAGAGTCGTCATGCATTTGCTTCACCCTTGGCAATGGCGACGCCTCTGCCATAGCTACAACAGGAGTGAGATAAATCAGTGAACTGAATTTCAACTGAAACACTGGTTCTGAGGCTACTTTTACAAATTATGGAACACGTAATTATATGCCATTTGCATGCACATACACTATGTGGTATTGGAACAAGAATGAAAATGTGCACTCTTCTTTGGAGTAAGTAAAGCTGTCCCTCTACACGCCATGTAGGTCGTTTGGGGGGAGCGGAGGTATAGCTCCTACTTTCTTGACCTCGGCACTAGATGGGGGGTGAGTGGTCGGCATCACGCCCCGGCCGCGTTTTGCACCCGGGAAAGGATCCCGGTACCCATTGTAGAGGAGGCTGGGTGGGCCCCAGAGCCGATCTGGACGCAGAGGCTAGAGGAAAAATCCTCTGCCCCTGTCGGGGATCGAACCCCGATCGCCCCGCCCGTAGCCAGTCACTATACTGACTGAGCTATCACGGCTCCTCTTCTTTGGAGTACACAAACTTTTAAAATGTCATCTTTGAGACTTCTCTGCACTCACTAACCATGATCTTAATATATTGTTAATACAAAACTACTGATCACAGCTCCCACTGTAGCCATGTGATATGATTTTAACGTTGCTTTTTTTTGGGGGGGGGGGATATGGTGGTTGCAATTGAATGAAGGAGCAAAGAGATGGATGAATAGACAGGTACCTGGGTTTTCACTCAAGAGGATTTGAAAAGTCTACAAACCAAAACCTTTTTTACCCCATTGTATTCTGAAACGTTGTTATTCCTATTAAATTGTAGGAAAAGGGTTAAGACAGATCTGCAAAGGAACTGGGACGTCCTGCTACAGTCCACAAGTTAAATTAAGCATGTGTTGTACTGTATCTAATTTGAAAAGTATAACAAATTTTTGAAAATTTGTCAGCAGGCACAACTGTGAACCACTTGAACCACCTCCAATAAAATTATTGGTTCAGGCATTCATTTAAAATGTTAAATTCAATTTCAAAGTTTGACAAAATTATGAACTTCGGTTCTCGGTTTGTTTTGATATTGTTTAAAGACGTAGTTAGATAAGAAGTTTCAGGCAGGTTTTGGCATTAGTAATATTGAACTTTTGACTCCTATCACTGGTTTATAATAAGTACTCTACCTCTGGCAGTTAGGTTGTTGATGGGTTTCGTACTGTCCTCATACTGAATGGAGCTGGAACGTGTACCTCGTCCTCCATTGTAAACACTACTGTGATATGAAGATAAGGAGTTCTGTGGTGTGAGTTGTTGGTGAGAAGGGAGATGTTGCTGCTGTTGCGACGCCTGCTGTGATTGTGTCGGCTGATAGGCGCTACTGGAGAGAGAGTTCTGTCGGGTAAGAGACCCGACCCATGACACCTGTAAATTATTCATACCTATCATTAGTTATTTAATTACTCTGCTGATTTTGTTATCAGGTGAAACAAACCAAATAAATGTTATTTCTTACAAGATCAGATCAGCAAGTTAGCTCAGCATCTAACATGAGTGACTCATTTTAAGAATTAATCATAATTGTGGTTCTAAATATTTCTTTTTGTGGTGAGAATTTTACAGAATAAGGTTATTTATAAAATTAGTGCAGTAAATACATGATATATGGCGGTAAGGGGGCTATATTAATTTTCATCACTATTAGTAATACTTAAGACAGCTGTGATTATGGAATATTGTAACCAATAACAGTTCAGATACAAGCCAAATAGACAGTGGTGATTGCTCAAAGACAGATGTCAGTGTATGCATGTACCTGTGTGCACGCATGCGCACACCAGGCTTTCGTGGCTGGTGTGAGAGGAGACAGGAAAAACCAGGGGAAAGGAGGAAAGAGGAAAGTAGATGATATCTCAGGAAACATGATAAATACGTTCAGCAAGACAGGGGAAAGGAGGAGGGAGGAAAATAGATGATATCTGAGGAAACATGATAAATACGTTCAGCAAGAAAAAACGTTTTGCAACAAAATACTGATAATGAAAATAATAGGAGAATTATAACAAGCAAAAGGAATGCTAAAGACAGACTGTCCATAAATTGGCAGACAATTTGAAAATTTAATGAAAAACTTATATATGAACTTCTGTGACCACGTATGAACAAACTTGAATGATGTGAGAATGTTGTGTAGTACGTAAGTCTTTTGTATGTGATATTAAGTACATGCTCTTAAAATTTGCAAGTAATTTATAGACAACCTGCATGACAATGGAATTACAAATACCCTACTTAAAAATATTTATGACAATATTTGAGATAAGGCCAGAAATATTACAAAAGTAAAATTTTTAAACTTAATTTTAACTTACACTTTTAAGTACACAAATTATAATTACAACTGAACATATTTTTTCACACTGAATACAGTTAATAACATACCTGAGATAGCGGACAGTAACCAGGAGAGTCACGGCTGCTCCGGATTGAGTTCTGAGGGCTGAGTCCTTTGCTGCTGTTGTTATTGTTGAAATGCCTGTTGTTGTTTGGTGTACCCTGAGTATCATTCCGGATGGTGCCAAGAAGCCCTCCATTACAGTGTGAGTGGTCCCCACAGTGGCCGCTAAAACAGAGAATGAAGAAATTCTCATTTCTACTCAGGAGAATTTTGACGTGTCCGCAATAAGGTGTGTCCAAACTAATGTGATCAACGTAAAAATCACTGTTATTTAAATTGACTCGTTATTTATGAACTGCTTAATATTTATGTGTATGAAAATAACATGTTCATGCAACTACACTCGATCGCATATTTTATTTGGATGCTATGACAGTATAACCACACTCGATCACATATTTTATTTGGATGCTATGACAGTAGTAAAACATTAATTCGGGCAGAGTTACCTAATATTTTTGTTTGCATTTCATCCAGTATACACAATTTTAAAAATGTTCCAAACAGGTCACACACCTTAATAAAATATAATATTTTATGGCATGCATAACATTAAATTTGACATGAAAAATAATAATAATAATACATAATATATTTGTATGTAGTAGAGTACGTTATTAGTCTGTGATAACAAACCTCAGTTAAACTTTATCATATGCGAATAGGGGATTTAACCCTGTACTATCAGACTTTAACATCTGGCATAATAATTTAGCAGTAAACCAGTGTAAAAAATTTCTAGCTGAATTGTAAATGAGCTCAGAAGCACAGATGATAAAGATTAAAATACATTACTTTGCCATATGCTTTATACGAATATGACCTAAGTCCAGAAAATTTGGAGTATTACAAAGTAGATACTTACGGAGGGCTGAGGATATTATTGTTGTTGAGGATAATATCATGGTCACCTAACTGATCTTGTTGGCCCATTTCAGATCCACCACATCGTGACTTTCTTCTCAATGAAGGTCGTGACAGCTTCCATGAACAAACCCTCTGGATGCGTGGTGTGCTGTAAACAAAACCAAAGGTGGTCATTTCATGTGGAATTACTGCTTTAATTTGCCAAGAGAAGGAATAATTCTTTCAGTGACTTACTGACTTTATTCTGTTACTTTTCAAACAGATGACTTTTCTTGTGACACATATTATCATACAATTTTATTTCATAACAACAAAAAATTCTGAAAATGTCTTTAAATATTTGGGAAGTACAGTGAGATATTTAGATAGCAGAACCATGAAGTGAGTTTATGTTTTATGAACAAGCCCACTTATGTAGGATTTGAAGTTTCCACAGAGATGAGTAAGAAGATGGCGGTCTTCTGGGTTGTAGCACCGTGTAGTCTGGTAGCAGTTTACCGACGTTTCAGAGGTCATCCACACGCCCACATAATTCACAGAAGAAACAAATTAAACTGAAGTAGAATCTGAGACCAGCTTCAAAGGCACGCAGCCTGACATACAGTTTACCTTGGCAATGTGTCCCTGCGACTGCTGACTGCCACGAGGCTGACACGCCTCCCAAGTGTTGGTGTGGGCTGACTTAGGTTATTCACTGTGAATTTATTGTTCGGAGGTTTCAAGAGTCCAGGAATGCTGTGTTGTGATGACTGTAACAAAGGGGGCTAACCTCAGTGGAAAAGATCATTACCATCACTTAAAAAAAATAATAACAAAGAACTTTGAAGGAAGTTTTATTTCAGATTTTTTGATATAAAATTGTGTCTGTTCTTCTGCCTCACACATACTACATTCCATTAAAATAATAATAA